CTGAGCCATGTACCCAGCGTTTTTTATCTCTGGTTATTTGTGGGATAGGGTCTTGCTTCCTGCCTGGTGCAGTCTATTCTGTTAAGCTTCCCATTGTAGCTAGGATAGAAGGGGTACACTACCATGTCCAGCTATGGCATGAGAAGGGATCTTCTCTTGAAAGCTTCTATCTGGGTTAGACTCTAATCATAATCCTTCAATCTCAGCCTTTGAGAAGTCTGATTTGAGGTTATTTAGAAGTGTGTTCCTAAATTTCCAAACAACTGGGCTGTTTCTAGGTATTTTATTCTGTTATCTATTTCAGACTTCATTCTACCATTGTCAAGTTTTGCTAAGGCCCTGTCCATACTCTGGAACATGGTCTATTTTCGTCACTGGAGAGAACAAGGGGAACTTCAGAAGTGCAGTGTTTATCATGGCTCTTATGTCAATTTTGGTAATGACATTGTTCAAAATCTTCTGTAATTTATCAACTAAAAGGTGGTACCGAGAGGCATGTAAAAATACAGATGGGAAGCTGGGCACTGGATTTTTTTCTGAAGTAAAAAGTAAATGTGAGTCTAACAATTTATTGACATCTATTTGCAAGCTTACTTTAAGCAAATATACATGGGAGCATAGAAGCAAAATTCTTTTATTTATGGTATTCACAAGAGGGAAAAGGCTCATAATGAGATACATTCTCTTTTTATTAGTGTATATTAATTGTGCCAAGGGGCTTCACTCACAGTGGTATTCAATGATGCCAGTCAGCTGGACATTTTTCCTTGATGTTGTTTGTGTCCATTATTAATGACAACTGATTAGGAAGGCTGTTCTTGAAGCACTCATTGTTCAAGTACTTATTTCTTGAGTCATTTCTATGTGCAGCCACATTGGTAGGGCTCCAGCAACACCATAGGGGGAAAACATCTCTTCCCCTGGGTCTGGGAAGTCAGCTAGCTCGCAGCAGCGTCTCCTAGGGCCTCCTCTAGGTGGTGTCAGTGTGAGACTACGAAAGCAAAAAGGACAGGCATCTCCAACTAGAAAGTACCTTGGAGAGATGAAGTCAGACCAGCTGTAGGCCTGATTCAGGCTCCTTGGGCACAGAAGTAGGGATGGACTTGGGAGTGAGAGACTGGGATGGCTTTAAACATAAGGCTGGACATCACTGTGGAATACCCCACTCGGAGGAATTCTGTTACGTTGTTTTCTGTGGCATTTAGGTAAGTGAGGGAACTGGGGATAGGAGTGGAAGAGAAGGTGCTGTGTGTGAAAATCACAGACACCTGTGCCTTACAAATCCACAGATGTGATGTTCTGAGCGGATTCTTTTATCCAAATGAGCTTGCAAGGCTTCTGATCTGTCGGGACAGGTAGGGGAGCGCTCTCTTTCACCTTTCAAACTAAAAACCTGTCCAAGGCAATAGCCATCCAGAACCAAGCACCCCGGGGTATTTTAAGAGCTCATATCCATCCTTCGGTAGGCCAGAGAGCACATTGTAGCGTCTTATTCCAGTTAAGTCTTGCTTGTACTTTGCTGATAATTAAATTCTAGCAAGACTTAAGCCCAACAAATGTACCCTATGGGTCCTAAAAATTTGCTTTAGTATTAAGAAAGCAACAAAAGCAAAACTTTTTTTCTTCTTCTCAGTTCCCATCCACCAGCTTCTTTGCAGGCCCCACAGGCTGGCCTGGGTGCTGGGGACTCGGCATCCAGGACTCACCTCTGATGTGAGGTATGGGAAACAGAGGTGACATGATATTTCAGTCATGTGCAAAGTTGTACAAAGAGAACACTGGTTGCATGAGGAGATGGGGGCTTGGTGGCTGTTCCATGGGAACAGTTCAAGCTGTTTAACAAGGGTAGCTTGCCGAGGCTGGGGAGCTTGAGTTCTTTCAAAAATGGTGCTACACCTTTGTTCTGGAACTGTTGTCTGGCAGTGCAGTAACAGCAATGGATAGAGTGGAGACCACGAGTGTTCTCTCAGAAAACAAACTTGAATTCTGCTATTTTCATTGTCCTTTTCCCCTCTTTCCCTTCCTCTTCCCTTCCTTCCCCTCCTTTCCTCCCTTATTCTTCCTCCCCTTCTCTTCCCTTTTCTCCATCCCCCCTTCCCCTTTCCTTCTCTCTTTTTTCCTTGTGAATTTGTTATGAATGTTCTTCATAATGTATTCCTTTTGGGTGCCAATACCAACATCCCTTGTGGCAGTATTCAGAAGGTAGATAGATAGCCTCCATCTTTCTCAGCATATAGACTGCTGCCACACAGTGGGTCCTGGCCCTCAGCCTCTCGGTGATAATCAATTCACACAGGTCCACTTCCCTTGGGAAACAAAGAAAGGCTGTCCAGCCTTCCCACCCAGCTCTCCTCCAAGTGCGATAGAACACTTTACAATGTGACGATGAAAGGGCCCAGCTAATTTTCAGGCAGCTCATTTTCTGATGGATTCAGATCTAGGGAAAATGTACAACATTGCGAGAACGGGCAAGAGTCCTGATTCCCAGAACTAGAGGAATTTCAAAGACTGGTGTCTCCTAATAGTGCAGTGGTGAAGAAGCTGAGAAATGGCAGCCTTTGGTCTTAGGAAGGAGGCGGTGGGAGGGGCAGGGCAGGGGTTCTGAGTGAAGGGATGAGGGGCAGAGTGGAGAGTGGGCTGGGGCTGGGGAGCAGCTGCCTGTATACTGTGCTAAACTCAACAATGTGGACAGAAGGCCCACCTGGAATTCCTGCGGGGTTGAGTGGTATTTTTGTGAAGTATTCAGTTGACAGTTCTAGTTTGTATCCAACATGGACGGTTCCTTGAGCTAAACAGGAGTTGGGCACTTAGAAATTTGGTTCGTTTTAACTTTTCAAAAAAGAATTCTTACTGTCTTTTTTACTATCGTATTTCATTTCCTTTTAATTGCTTCTCCTCTCAATATGCTCGCTTTTTATAACACCAATTCCAGCGTCCACAGATGTAGACTTTCTTGAATTTTATTGAGCCCACAGCAGATGCTACCCGGAATTTTATTTCTCCTTCTACTAGTGAATTATTTTTTGTTTTGTTTCAGAGGCGAGTCCTTTCTCTGCATTTGGAGGATGGTTTCCTTCTTTGTCCTTATTATGGAACTTTCTAGATAATTTTGTGTGTTTGGTTATCCTCAAATCATCAGCTGGAAGATTTTCCCAAACAAAGGACTTGGTCTGTTCCTCTACTGCCTGCCAGGTTGTTGGTTGAGTCTCTGCTCATTTCAGAAGTGGGGGTACCTCTGGTGTACCCCTGAAGGCACTCTATACCCATGTCATGTCTTCCTTGGGTTTGTTGAAACCATTGGCTGGGACTTGTTTTGTTTATAACTTTCCAGTGGGTCAGTCCATTACTTCATAAATGGCACTGCTCACCCATCCTGCTGGTGACCGGACCCTGCTCTGCGGATTTCCTACGAATTGTGACACAAAGCCTTTCAGAGCTGCGGCTGGGCTCTGCTGGATGTAGCTCCATGCCAGGTTTTCTCTGTGGGACCGTTCTGCCCGGCCTGGGTCTGGCTCCCTGGTGCATCGCACAACAACTCCCTTGCTGCCTGCTCTCCCAGGAGGGGGGCTGTTAAAGTAGAGGCTATGAATCCAGAATCTGCATAATGCTCTTCATAAGTTCAGAATTTCTGTGGACTGTTAGTTTTTAGGTCATGGAACTGGCATGCATTGGAAGATGTTTATGTTAAAACAGGATAGTTTTTAGGTCATAGAACAGGTAGGCATTGGAAGGTATTTATGTTAAAACAGGAGCTGGTTTAGAAAATGGAACGGCATCTTATCTCCATGTCCAGTTGTCTTTGTGTCTTTAGTATGATGTTGTGATGTCACCTTGTCTTTATATCCCGTTGTCCTGGTGTCTGTAGTGTGAGCCTTGCGATGTTACCGTGTTTTCATGTGTGATTGTCCTTGTGTCTGTAGTATAGTAGGATGCCACCTCATCTGCATGTCTGGTTGTCTTTGTGTCTGTAGTGTGAGGTTGTGTCAACTTCTTCTTTCAGGAATCCTTGGGCACTTGTTTTCTGTTTTTGCGAAGGCTGACATAGTTAGATGTGGTCCATAAACCCGCTGTCCACTTGCCTGGAACCCAGGAAGTTGTATCTGTTTATTGAAGCATAGAAGCGATAGTATTTTGAGTTTGTTGGCATCTAAGAATATCTTCGTGGTTTTCACAATCTTTGTTGGCAGCTCCACAGGATATACACATAAATGCCTTCAATGGTGTATTCTCAAAACCTTTTAGTCACTTTTTGGGTTTGACTTCAGAGAAGTCTATGACTAGTTTCAGAATTTGTAACTTCTGAAGCAATGTATTTTTTTCTCAAAACTTTTCAAGTTCTTTTTTCTATTCATTGGAATAAAAAATTGCAATAACACATACTGGCTATTTTTTTCTGGCCTATTTGACCCTTTTTCTTCAGCTCATCTAGGCTTTGCCTTAACCTACAAAAGCCTATTTTGATCAAAGCTGTTTATTTTTATGAAAATCCTACTATAGGTAGATAGGATTCCTGGTTTTTCTTTCTGCGAGTCATATTTTCCCGTTATTGTTTTGTTTTGTCCTTTCCTCTTGGGTTTTCAGGTCCACTCTCAGCACACTTCTATTACCAGTGGATATTTTCAAGCTGTCCTCTGTGATCAGGGCTGAAAGAAGTTCTTTCCACAGAGAAATCCTCCAGAGTCATTGGATGGTATTGCCACTGGTTCTACCTTACCACATTGAGTTGTAGCCAAAAAGATGGAAGTCCAAGGAAAAGCAAAATCACTGATAGTTTGGACACTCCTCTGTGTTGGGAGTGTCTAGGGCCAGGTTATGAGAACATTTTTGTTCATTTGGCAAGGATAATAAACTATGTTTATTTTGTGACTTGTTCCTTTGGCCCTATGAGTGTTATCCTTGTATTGTGCTAAAGAGCAACATTCAATGACTCTAAAAATGTGTTACTCTAATGCTTTGTTCCTCTAGTCTAATGAATCTGTATCACTTTCCATTTCTTGTAGGTTACGATCTTTGGTGAAACAGCTAGAGAGAGGGGAAGCCTCCGTGGTAGATCTGAAGAAGAATTTGGAATATGCAGCCACAGTGCTGGAATCTGTATACATTGATGAAACCCGGTAAGCTAAAGGTGTTTGCAAATCAGTAAAGTGATGAGACATCTTCTGTCCAGTATTTTTAAAAACTGTTCTCCAGCAGGCCTGCCCTTGGAATGAGATTGGTTTGGGTAAGTGTCTTTCCCTCTGTGCTTCTTCATCTGTAAAAGGAATGGACAGAACTCATCTCAAATGACTATTAGGACAGAAGGGGAGGTGATATAGAAGGAAGAAATACAAATACAAAACATCCATAGACTTTTCTCCCCTGCACTGTGATTGCTGCATACTGTGACTATGTGCATGCAGGGCTGGTTTTAATTCCCAGTAGCCTGAATGCTGTGGACCTGGAGAGATGGAAGATCATGTGCTCTCCTTCCTTCTCTGATGTCTGTCATTGGTTTTCTTTACACACTTTTCCATTGAATTGTCCAAAAAGAATCAAAGCAGTTCTGGGTGCTAAACATGCATTTGAAAATATAAAACATTGCTTTTTGTTTTGGAAAATGTGGGATATAAAAGGCCTTTCTTGTTTCTCATAAGACATGCTGCTTTGTCAGCATTTGTGATGTCTTAATTTTAGGGGGGGAATGGAATTTGAATTTAATTTTTCTGTAACCTAAGGATCACATGGCTTGGTATGGCCTCGTGGCTTATTTAAGGATTCTTAATACCAACATCTCTTCCATTTTGTGTTTTTTTCTTACCTCAACTTAGTAACCAAAAATAAAAATAACTTTTTCATTGACATCTGCTTCTATAATGCTCACTTTTACTGTAGTAGGACTAGATTGGTCTAGCATTCAATTTTAGGTTTTATTAAAATCCTAACAATGTAAGTTCCTAATATTATTCCCTTGTTCTAGTAATTGAATATCTTTATTAAGCAAAACCATTCAGCTTTATAACGTATCACGGTATGGAATTACTATTGGATTTATGTTCATTTCTAGTTACCTGACCTATAGACAAGTTTGCTGTCCAGCAAAACACATGATTTAACTCATTGCACTCATGTTCTAAAACTACATTACTTTAGCAATTTGGCTTGGATTTAGACATTTAAGTTTCAGTTATATCTTATTAGACAAGAAGGTGTATCAATTGACATCATTTAAGATGATTACTTCAGAGGCCTGCTTTGCTGTGGTTGGAGGATATTTTGTAAAGACTTTAAATGTTCATTTTTTGTTGTTGTTGTTGGTCATGGGGCTTGAACTCTAGGCTTAGGCGCTGTCCCTCAGCTCTTCAGCTCAAGGTGAGTGTCACTTCGGTTTTCGAGTGGTTTATTGGAGATAAGAGTCTCATGGACTTTCCTGCCCAGGCTGGCTTTGAACTGCGATCCTCAGATCTCAGCCTCCTGAGTAGCTAGGATTACAGGCATGAGCCACCAGTGCCCGGCAAATGCTCATTATTTTTTAAAATCAACATACCTAGTCCATCTATGGAATTATTTAACTTCCTTGTGCCTGAGTTTGTAGAAGGAAGTTAAAAATTTCATTCAAATTCCACAATTCCTTAGAGGATTAAGTAGTTGGTGTGTGCACACTGTGACCAGTGGATCTGTCAGCCAGAGGAGCCCAAGGCTGAGTGGGCCTAGACAGCCTGAGATGGGGCAGTTCTGACCCCTCTTCTTCCTGAGTCCTTTGCTCAGGGCCTCAGACAGCTTTCCATTGCTCTATCATCAGAGGCCATTGACTTATGAAGAGGAAAAGTTTAACTTGGGCTCCCAGCTTTGGAGCGATTCCCTTTTATGATGAATTGGCTTCATGGCTTTAGGCCTGGAGCAAGTAGCCCATCATGGCAGGAGCTGTTCAGCTCATAGCCACCAGGAAGGAAAAGGGAGGAAAAGGAAGGGGCTCAGCCCACTGTCCCCTCTGAGGTCACACCTGCAGGGCTTCAAGATCTACCTCTTGAAGTTCGCACTATCTCCCAGTAGTATCACTTGCTGGAAACCAAGCCTTGAATACATTGGCCCCTTGGGGCTGTTCAACACCCAAACTATAATCCAGGGAGCCACAATAATACTGTATTTTTGTGTGTGTCCGATTCAACTTAGTTTCTTTGTGCTTGCGCAGCGGGTGGGGTAGTCAGCAGCTGTAGAGACCCTGGGGCCCTCATTCAGTACAGGGTGAACAGTGGCTGTGATGGCCAGGGGCCCTTATTCAAGTTCAGTCTTAGTGTCACATTTGTTTGTCCTGCTCAGGCGACTTCTGGACACGGAGGATGAGCTCAGTGACATTCAGTCAGATGCTGTGCCCTCTGAGGTCCGGGACTGGCTGGCCTCCACCTTCACCCGGCAGATGGGGCTGATGCTCCGCAGAAGCGAGGAGAAACCCCGGTTCAAGACCATCGTGCACGCGGTGCAGGCTGGGATATTTGTGGAGAGGTAAAGAAGTCGCGCTCATCATCACTCAGGAACAAAGCAGAAAAAGGAGCTGCCAGCACCCAGTAATGGGAAGCCTGGCTTCCATGGAGCTGTGAGATTTGTAAACAGGAAATTAATGGGTGGGAAACAGTCTCGAATGGGAAATGATAAGAACCATATCTGTTTCAATCTCTGAGATATCATAAGAATACATCCCCCCACCTCCCATGATCAGAATCCCCTTTCTTAACCAGGGGGCATTTAGTTTGAGCTTTTGGGGGAGGTGGTATTGGGTTTGAACTCAAGGCCTGGCTTGGCAGGCCAGCACTCAACCACCAAGCCACACCTGTCCTATTTTTCCCTGGTTGATTTTGAGATTGGGTTTCACTTCCTGTCCAGGCACATGCCCCAAGAGTTATCTGTCTATTTTATGAGGTTGACAAGGACATGCCCCTGGTCTAGTTTCTCATGGTAGAGATGGCATCTTGTGGACTTTTCTGTCTGGACTGTCCTGGTCTGCAACCCTCCACACTCAGCCTTCTGCATAGTTTAGGACTACCGGGATGCATCAACCATGAGTTGAGATAGAGTCTTGCTAGCTTTTTCACCCAGGCTGGCTTGGAACCCATAATCCTTGCATTCTCAGCTTCCCCAGTAGTTAGGATTACACACATGAGCCACCTGTGCCTGGATCAGTCTCCAATTTTTAATGAAAGAAGCCATTTAATCCACCATCCTTTGAAATATGTGGACAGTGTCCACTTTTGAATGGGTGGGGAGCTTTGCATTTGCTGATCTGAGAGCACAGTTCATTAAAGAGCTATGTTTTCCACGACATTCTGATTTTCTTGGACCTTGAAATAAAAAATTGCCCCTGCTACTCAAAATAGATGTATTTCTTCCTGTAATCCCTGTTTCACAGCCACACTCATTCTTTTAACTAGGGGCGGGGGGTGGGGGGGGAGGGGCATTTGACTATGGGGTTTAAACTCAGGGCCTATGCTTACTTGGCAGGTACTCTACCACTTGAGCTGCACTTCTAGCTACAATGATACATTAGAAATGCATGGCAGGTTCAGAGTTTATATAGGACAACTTTCTTACTTGTTTTGATAATTGTAAAGGACAGGCTGTGCTAGTGGGTTGTGCACAGTAGTACTTTATTCAAGTTCAAGAACTATGCTGAAAATTGTCTCTACTGTTCTGTAATTCTTTTGGGTAGAGCAGGTGACCCCTTTCATAATTAATTTCCAGCCTAGGGCACATAGACTTTTTTCATTTAGGGTAGCTTATGCATTTGGGGTTGCTTTAATTTCTTTTGAATGTAATGGTATAAGGCTCCTTTGAAAAGTTGCCAAAAGGAACTTTAGGTTCTTTGTGTCTCTAGATTTTCTAGCTTCTCATGATTTGTCACCATACTGTGTAAATATGGAGTTGTGGACTGCAGATGCCCTTTTTAAAATTGCATTTTTCCTCTTCAATATTGCCAGAATGTATAGACGGACATCAAACATGGTTGGACTGAGCTACCCCCCTGCTGTCATTGAGGCACTGAAGGTAAGGCCAGTGAAAGGTTTGCAGTGTACACGGCACCTCATAGAAAGTGTGATAGAACTTCTTAGAAAAGGAGAGGATTCCATTCACAGTTCTTTTGCTCATGATCCCTAACATCCAGCTTTCATTGGCATTTTCTGATTGGTTTCAATAGGATAATGATATTTTCAGCCTTATTTTTCTTAAATTAAAAAAAAACCAAAACCAAAACCATGGGCTCTGTCGCTTTCTGTTTCTCTAGGGTATGCAATGCCTGGTTGTATGAAATTTGCTAACTTTGGCCTTATGGATATCAAATATGATATGGTCAAAGCCTATCATGGGAAAATCTTTTGGTGATTGTCATTGCATCTTTGTGTGATTATCCACTCCGAGTCCACTTTATAGATAAGAAAAGTAAAAGAAAATGAGTGACAGGAATGAAGAGCAGGTTCTATATAAGATGCGGGGGCAAGTAAAAGGGAAGAGGATAAAACAGAGGATGAAAAAGGTGAATATAGTGTGAAAATATGTGTGTACAGTGTGTGTTTACAAATGAACATGTATGTTTAAACTTGTTTAGATTGGTTTGGAAAGGCAGAGGTGCATGGGAGAGGGTGACAGAAGGTGCATCTGATCAAGATACATTGTATGTGTATATGCACATGTCAACATAAAGTCCCCTTGTACACTCAATTGGTGTGAGTAAAAATGTGGCAAATGGGAAGAGAGTAATACTCAGTAAGATGTAAGGAAAAAAATAGAGTTAGAGCTAAAGTTGGAGAGCAGTTTTTACAACACCTTAGTAAGCTCTCAGGAGTATGTTGCTGTATGCAAGTATGCTGGCCCCCAGAGCCTTTGTCTCTGCCTTTCTCCTGCTGTTTTTCCAAGAAGTAGACTGAGCCAAGGGGTCATAGATGTCACCCAAAATTTCGCATTTAAATAGGTGAATCCTGACAGGCTACCTCATAGAAATATGCAGAGTATCTTGTAGCTTCAAAGTGGAGGTGCCACTCCAGGCTGATTCCAACCCACTGGTCTTGGGGTCCATTTGCCCAGGCTTAATTTGACTCTGAATCCCAAGTAGAGATGTGGAAGGGCCCTGGGTCACAAGGCTGGTTAGCACTACCTAGTGTACACACATAGAATTGGTCTGTTTGCTTAGGGCATCTTGAATTCTGATCTGTTAAAGATGTTGTTTTTCTCTGGAGCCTGAAAACAATGACCTGATGATGTTTTCAGAAGATAAATTGCCTATTCATGGAATTGAGAATGAAAGTTACATCAAAATGAGCCTCAGGGACATCTTGACTGTATATTCATAGTTCTTCTTGTCTCAGAGACACTAGCTGAATGCATGGGACCATAGATGATAGCTAACTAGCTAGCTGATAAAAGAGATAGATAGATGATAGACAGAGACCAACAGATGGATAGATGGTAGATAGTAGGTAGATAGCTATATATGCTATATATATACACACATTCATTCATACATAGATGATAGGTACTACAGAGATAGATAGATGCTGATAGGTGGATAGATGATATGTGATGGTAGATGATATATGCTAATAGACAAATAGGTATATATATATATATAGATACATGATAGATGATAGATACTAGGTAAATAGATGATAGATATTAAATAGGTAGATGTATGAATAGATAGATAATAGCTAGATACATGGTAGGTAGATGATAGATCAATGGTAAATATGGGAAAGACACATGACACATAGTAGATATATAGATTGCTAGATAAGCAAATAGATGATAGCACTCAATAGATACCAAATAGATATAGATAGATGTATGTATTGATAGATAGGTACATGATAACTAGATAACTAGATAGAACAGATAGGTAGAAACAGATAGAAGATAAATAGGTAGGTAGGTAGGTAGATAGATAGATAGATAGATAGATAGATAGATAGATAGATAGATAGATAGATAGGCAGGTAGCTGGGCAGGTAGACATACAGACAGATGCTCACTTTTTTTTTTTGTCTCTGTCTCTGCTTCCTTAATCTGAGGAGAAAGGAGAATGCTTTGAGAATCTATGTGTTTCTCTTTCACCACCCTTGGGTCCATTTTAATGCCCATTATATCAGTGTGATCCATAGCCTGTTCCCTTATAATCAGCAAGATAACCTTATGAGGTCTCATGTGTCATAACATGACTATGAAATCACATCAGTTTTCATAATTGACCCTGAAATGTCATAGGATCACTAAGAGCATATTCTCATCTTTAATCTCTTATTTGTCATGAGCATAAACACAGGAGGAGATATGAATACTTAGACATTTACCAGAACCTTCCCCTTCCCACCCCCAAATTGAAGTCTCTTTTCTTCTTCCTTTTCTTTTTCTTCTTCTTTTCTTTTTCTTCTTCCTTTTCTTTTTCTTCTTCCTTTTCTTCTTCTTCTTCTTCTTCTTCTTCTTCTTCTTCTTCTTCTTCTTCTTCTTCTTCTTCTTCTTCTTCTTCTTCTTCTTCTTCTTCTT